TAGCAGGAGAGACAGGAGTGGATGCGGAGCGTGCCGCCTGTGTTCATTGTGACAAAGGGCAGGAGCAGCAGGCTCCGGAGGGGGCTACGTCAGACACGGGCTGGACCTGAAGTCCGGAAATCTGTCCACAGGGGACAGGACACAGGCTGCTGGGCCTGGACGAGAGCCTGGGAATTTGTCCAGGCAGAGACGGGGCAGAGGGCAGCAGACAGGGTCCCGGGACTGCAGACAGTGCCAGGGACGCCTCGGGGGAAGGCTTCTTAGAGGCCAGGCGTGCAGTTCTTTGGGGGAGCAGTAGGACCATCAAAACCCAGTTTCTGGAGAAGGGGGGGGTGGTAAGGTCACAGGCTGGGGGTCTGGAGCCTCTGTGGGAGCAGGCTGGAGGCTGAGGTCACAGCCCCCTCGCCTTGGTCAGGCCCTTCCCGGAGCCCAGACCTCTTCTTGGGTTTCGTCTCTGGCACCCGGCTCTCATACAGGTTCTGGCTTCCCCACCTGGGCTGGGCCTCCACTCTGTTCAGGGGCGGAACTCAGATTTAGTTCCTTTCCTGCCCCAGGCAGCACTGGCCTCCAGACCAGCTGGCCAGCCAGACCCTTCAGGCCCTTCTGGGAGGGTTTGAACAGGGAATCCTGGAGCCTCTTGTCAGGAACAGAGTGAGTTTCAGCAACTGGACAGACACGCTTCCAGACGGAGGTTCAGAGCCCCTGGCTGGCCGGCAGCAGGGTGTGGAAGGAATGAGTGAAGGAATGAGAAAAAAACCCAGACATCTGGAACCAGGGGCCTGTCTTCAACGGAAGAGGAACACTTGAAGGAGGCCAGTTTTCAATGCAAATAGAAATGACTATAGCCCAAAATATCTTTTTCTAGAGGGATTTCTAAAAGGTTAACACACACACCCCTGAAAGGGTTTGACATTTGAGTCCTACAGACACAGGAAGCAAAGCCGGGCTGGCTCCTGACATCACATCATCTGCTTAAGTGCCCCCCCCCCCACAAGGGCTTTCCTCTCTGCCCGCAGAACGTCCTAGGAGGCAGATGCTATTTGCACCTATTTTAAAGGCCAGGACAGTGGATTCAGAGAAGGCGGCACTCGGCCAGGTGTGGCTGGACGCAGCCATCCTCACCCACAGCCGTCCTCACCTGCCACTGCTTCGACAGTAAGTCGTGCCCTTGACCTTGGAGTGGTTCTCAGCCCTGCATAGTCGGTGCGGGGGAATTCGTTTCTGTGATGGGGGCCGTGGCACAACTTGGCTCCGGTTTCGTCTTTGTCTTCCCTCCTAGTGGGGTTCCCTGGGGCTGGTGCAGCATCCCGGAGCCCCACATTTTCATCAGCCACGTGCCCAGGACACTGGTGTCAGAGCCCGCACGAGTCTTGGGCTCCACAGCTGGACACCCCGGGCCTGGTGGGCAGACAGGGCACCCTCCCCATCAGCCCACCATTGGGACACACTCAGGGCCGATTCCCAGGACAGGCTGGGGTGGGAGAAGGGATGTTTCTATAAAGGAAGCAAAATTCCAAGCACATCCATTTATTGTGACACAGTAGGGGGGACGGTTCCAGAAGCAGGGCCTTGGCCACAGTGGGAAGGAGACAGCTCATGTTCATGCCATCTCCTCCCCAGCACCCAGAGAACGTCCTGCCTGCCAGTGGATCAAGTGTCCACCTGCTTATCCATGGCCTCTCCTGGTCCTGGCCTCCAGGCCCTCCCGATGGCCTAATGGTGGCTTCTCAACAGCTCCGTGCTGAGGACAGAAAATTCTGGAGCCGGGGGCAAACATCCTCCTGGAAGCAGGTGAAATATGTCACCTCGTGCCTGGTGCAGAATAAGCGCCCACGAATAATAAATGCCACCTAGTATCCCTACACCAAGGAGGCTGGGAACTGCAGACACGGGTTTCAGCGGGACGTGACGGCTGCAGACAGCCAGCCTGCGTGTCAAGTCCCCTTCGCTGCAGTGTTGACTTGGGGGAGTTTTGGGGTCCCCCCGCATAGCTGGCAGCGATGGAGGCAGAATTCAGTGGTGGTTGGCAGAAGTCCACACTCCACTTCCCAGGAAGAGCAGAGCACAGGGAAGGCAGCGCCATCGTCCCAAGAAGTAGGCCAGTTAAACAAGGGGAGGAACCGGCAGGTCTGAGCCTGCGGGTTCCAGTTCTACTTGCCAGGCAGGGAGCACCAGGCGGCATCGGGCAGCAGGAGCACCGGGCTGGGGAAGGCAGGACAGCCCCAGCGGCTCCCAGCCAGATGGGAACAGGGATCGGCACAGAGGAGGCCGTGAAGGTCAAAGCCGGCACAGATGCAGCCTAGGGCTGAGGAGCGCTCTGCGGGCCAGCGCTGGCGAGGCCCGGAGGGCTCAGGGGGAGCCCTGCAGAAAGGCAAGGACCCGCTTTTATGTGGGTGTCAGGAGGGGTTCCAGGCCCAAAAAAGCCAAGTTGGAGGCACAGGCCCCCAAGCTGCATCAGAACTGGAGGGTTGAGGGGGGCGCCCCCGGTTGGCCTCAGGGGAATAAGGAAAAGTGACTTGAGTTTGGGGAATTGTTTTGTTCTGACTTTTTTCTCCCTAAAAAACTGGGATCTGAAGCGACCTCTCAGCTTGTCATCGACTAGAAAGATCAGAGGCCCAGACAGATCTCAGCAACGCGCGGGCACGGGCGCGGGCGCAGGGCTGCTGCGGGCACCCGGCTCAGGAGGAACCAAGGGAGGAAGACAAGGCCCCTCCGGGTCTGTGTCGCTTTGTAAATCGGTGGTTAATCAAGAAAGTAAGTAGATAATATTAATAATAGTGAATCTTTTTACAATAAACCACATGCGTGTCTGTGATTTCACCAAGGTTTCCCGTCCCAGTCGGTGGGTCAACTATGGCCTGAGTGTGATCCCCGGCCAGGGAGCTACCCACACGGCGCAGCAGACCTCTCCTGTCTCCCTGCTGCTCCCCTCAGCAGTGGATTTCAGTGGATCCACCTGTTCTGCTCTCTGCTCTGTCTCTGGGGAGTCCTCTCGCCCCCGCACCTCTGACCTGTACCCCAGTTCTTCTATGCAAAAATTTAAAAAATAAATAATTTTTTAAAAGTTTCCCTTTAAAATAAATAGAAATCCCTTTTATTCTCATAAAGGAAATAAAAGGCCACATCCAGAAATGGAAAGAACTTGGCTGTAGACGTCAAGGGTGAACGGGTGAACCCGGCCGGCCCCGGGTGGCTGGTCCTTCTGTCAAGTGGGATGATGGCAGGAGACAACGGCCTCAGTGCACAGGGAGGACTCAGGTGGCCGGGAATCCCCGCAGCACACAGCCCGGGGATGGAGGGTGGCTCTGGGGTCACTCTTTACAGATAAGGACCCGCTGAAGAGTGAGGGGGCAGGAGCCGCCCCCAGCGTCGCACGGCGGCCGCCCCCCCCACAGGGCGGGCTTTGGCTCGTGGGCCTACCCTTCCCGGCATGCTTTGCAAGGCCCCTTTGCTGGCCGCTGGAATGTGTAAGCAGGCATTGCTGTACGTTTGGCATCCCCCGCACAGAGCCTGGCACATCACAGTAGCTCAGAAATGTCTGTGCAATGAATGAAGAAGTAAGACGAGCCCAGAACAGGTTGGCCGGGCTGCGTGGGGGCCTGAGCACTCGAGCCTCCGGCCCTTAAACGGCGGTGGTCACTCTGCAGGGATGGCAACCCCACGGCCTCCGACGCCGGCCCCTTTACAGAAGGGCAGGTTGTGGAGGAGCACTCTGTCGGGGTAACAGAAATCCCCCCAAACAGTAACAGCACAACTGGGGGCCCACCGGGAAACCAGTGATGAAATCCCTGACATCAGAAGGGGTGACCAGCAGGAAGCGGCTGTGGAAATGCTGAGGCTGCAGGGAGAGGGGTCGCCAATGCTCCTGGGACAGATCCCGGACCAGGTCTTGCTGGGGCTCTGTCTGGGCTCACCTGGGCTGTCCAGAGAGGGCAGAAAAAACAAAGGTCAGGACAGAACATGGTTAATGATTAAGAGAATTAGGATTTAAGGAATAAAACCCAGGGCAGTGCTCTCTCCCTTCCCCCACCGTATTCTGGGCACAGTCCTGGCCCCCAAGGCCACGAGGGAGTGCCTCCCTTGGTGCGCAGTGGAACACAGACATGCCTGACCCCCCACACACACACACACAAACACACACACGTTAGCTAACAGAAGAGGAGCAGGAGCAGCAGGGCCGCCTCGGGGTCTAGGGCAGGCTACCAGCAGCCACACCTCTGCTGAGAGACAGGCCTCCCAGCAGGCTTTCCTATAAAAGCCACTACCCCCTGCCCAGACCCCGGCAGCCCCCCTCAGCCCAGGCGGCCTGGGAGGGGCTGTACCAGCCAGGGGCCTGTAACCGCTGAGTGGAGGCGGCAGGCTGCCGCCCACGGCCTCCTGGCACCGCTGCTGAGCGAGCTCATGACTCGAGCCCTCCAGACAGAAGCAGCATGTGGCTCCTGCCCCGGGCACGGCTCAGCCCCCAGGGGCCTGCGCCCCGGCCTGCTGGGAGAAGTCACGCCGCTGCCAACACCGCGCAGGCCTGCAGAAGCGCTAATTAGGGTCTCACCTGGCCGGCTGCACCCCGTGACCAGGCGCTGGCGGCTGCTTCCCAGCCCCGGTCCCGATGGGGCTCCGCCACCGCCCTCAAAGGGGGCCTTGGATTCCTTGATCTGCACAAACAAAACTCTGCTGTGTGCCGACAGCAGGATTAATCGCAGCTGACTCCACAAAGGCCCGGTGCTGGCCCTGCTGGTGGAGCCAGAGAGGGAACGGCCCCCCATGTCGCGGGGGCAAGGCCTGAGGGGGGCAAGGCCCGAGGGCAGAGGGAGGCGGGAGCGAGGCAGCTGCAGTGCTGGGCACGCGAGCTGGTGGAGGAAGGCTTCCTGGAGCACCCGCCATGCTCCGGGCCTGGGGGGCAGGGGACAGGGAACAGGACAGGACACAGACACCGCTTCACCCCAGACGTTATTGTGATGTATCAACTGGGTGGGGCTAAGGGTGCCCAGATGGCAGGCGAACAAGGCGCCCCACGGCAGGCAAACATGGTGCCCCATGGCAGGCAAACAAGGTGCCCGGGTGTGTCTGTGAGGGGGTTTCCAGAAGAGAGCGGCACATGAGTCAGTAGACTGTACAGAGAAGACCCCCTCACCTGTGCGGGTGGGCGTCTTCCACCCCTGAGGGTCTGAGTATTAGGGGGAAAGGCTGTCCTGAGCAAACTCCATGCAGGCTTTGTGGATGCCACCCCCATGCCATCAAGACACCGGGAACTACAAATCCCAGGATCCCCAAAGGGAAGTTGTGAGGACCGAAGGGCGGAGTTTAAGCAGCCATTTTCTCTGTTTGTAAATAAAACCAGCCGTGTTAGTGGGGTCTGGGGCAGACTTGGCTTCTGCTCTTGGCCAGGGAGGTTTGGTCTGGCAGGTCTTTTGGGATTCCAGGTCAGCAGAACGGGTAGGACGCATTTAAGAATTTATCTCCCTCTTTTCTCCCTGAGTTGTACATTTCCTCCTTCCCCTTCCCTTGTAAATAAATCTTTTGTTACCGTTTTGTGTGTGCCTGCAGGGTAAGTCCCTTTTAAGCATGCAGGTGAGGACCCACAGTCAGGCGACCCATTTTAGAGTGGGGTTGCCCTGTAACATGAGTAGGACAGAAAGGTGGAGGAAGGAAATTGCTCTGACTAAGCTGGGACACCATCTCCTCTCGGTGTCAGGTGTTGGGGCTCTCATCCGGGGGCCTTCCGGGCACTGAATTGTACCACTGGCTTTGCAGGTCCCCCAGCATGCAGGTGGGAGCCATGGAGATGTCTCAGCCTCCACAGCCATGTGAGCCAATTCCCATAATAAATGTCCTCTTGGATGTCTGTGTCTGTCTGTTTTTCTGTCTGTCTATCTGTCCTCTCTCCATCTGTCTGCTTGTATCTATCTTTCTATCCATCTGTCCATCTGTCCACCTGTCCATCCATCCATCCATCTATATATCTGTTATCGGTCCTTTTCTGTTTCTCTGGAGAACTCTGACCGGTACACCTGTCTTCAGGTGACACAAATTTGGAAATATGGCAATGCCAAGTGCTGAGGAAAGGTATGGACCTACAGGTTCCCTTTGTTAGTAGGAGTCTAAATTAGTCAACTACTTTGGAAAGCAATTGACCAGTCCCCAGAGGCACCACGTTTACTCTTTGACCCAGCAATTCCATTTCTAGGGAGATACCAGAGAAAACCTTTTCTGCATGGACAAAAGGGTTGCTAGCAGGTGTTCAAAGGCTCATCGGCAGAAGCTGGATCAGCCACCCTGGGTCTCTTCTCACCACAGGGTTTCACACATCAGCCAAAGTCAGTGAACTTCAGTGTCACAGAACAGGAGTGGTGCTTATCAGCTTAATATCAAGTGAGCGGAAGATGTTCTAAAAGATCACATACAGTGGGACACCCTCTGAAAGAAGGTAGAGACAATTAACATTTCATAGATCTATTTTAGAGACACATAGAAAAGAGACGAATGCCACAGACGACGTGAGATGACGGGGAAAGGAAAATGGGAGAGGAGCCGCCCAGGATGCAGACAGGGCCTCCTTCGAGAAGGGAGGCCATGGGAGGCCACACAGTTGGGTGTGTGCCAACGTTAAGGCCAAGGTTCCAGGGCGGGGCTTGGTTCAAGGGTGGTTTTATTACTTTAAAACGTGCTACGTCACACGGGTAGATAAGTAAGTCAGTAGATAGGTAGGTAGGTAAATAGGTGGGGCCACAAATGGAGCAATAATAAAAATACATCCTGAGCCAAGGATTATGATTTAGCCAATCTGTGCCTCTGAAGTCCCGTAGTTTCTGAAGAGGTCAAGCACCCAAGGAAGGGGGGACTCATGGGCCCCATGCTGGCGTGCACTGGGGACAGAAAGGGGCCAGCCAGACCTGCTGGCACAGAGGACGGACGGCCTGGGAGTGGTCCTGCCCCAGCACCCCCTGCAGGCTCCAGGCTCTCGAGTAGGTCAGATGCTTGGAACCCCTGGAACCACACCCAGACCACTGAGGGCCCAGGCCCTGACCTTGTCTTCTAGAACCAGAGCATTGGGAGGCTCCCACCCCCAGAGGAGAACAAGAGCTGGGTGTGAGCAGCAGGTGGGTGGCGGCCCCAGCTCTCAAACCAGGGCGCACTCCTGCTGCAGTGCTTGCCTGTCCCTAGCCCTAATTGGCACCTCTGCATTGGGAAACTTCGCAGCAGATCAGCATCCTGCCAGGCCTCAGACCCGCCCACAGCCCGGGACACTGGTCTGGTGTGAAGGGAGGGCCTGGTCCTGCTTGCCAGGAGCCCTCCTGCCGGCTTTTAGGGCTGCTCTGGTGTCCCCCTCAGCACCAAGGCGGGACCCCAGGAGAGCTCTTGCCCACACCTATGTCCCTCCTGTCCCTCCCACTTCAACCCTGGACCTCGAAGCTCTCCCACTGATTCCTTCCCCTCACTCAGCCTTTGAACGTGACCAGGTCCAAACCGAGAGAGAAAGCTTCCCCCTTAACCCACCATAGTCACCCCAAACTCCCCTTCAGTTTACGTTAGGGTCTCTGAAGAAAACCTCCTCTCTCTCCACTTTGCTCTGGTTTGCCCTCCTCAGTTACTTGCAACCAAATTTTACTCCATACCTGCCCCCGCCATGCTTCCTGCAGCAGTTCAAGCTCTCCATGGTCCTTCGAAGAGCATAAGCAGCTCCTCAGGCCCATGCTGCCAGCCGGTGTTCCCGCATGCCTCTTGGGTCTCACTGTCCCTCTGGCCTCCGTGGTCTCTCTCGGCTTTCCTCTGCTTCCAGGGCCCCTTCGTCATTTGTCCCTAGTGTTAAAGGGCCTGTCTGTGGCCACTCCCTTCCCCTCCGCTCACTCTCCTTGGAAAATGCAGCCATTAGTTGATTCAGCCACCCCCGCTGCGACTCAGCTCTGCCTCCAGATGAGCGGCGAAGAGCCCACGTCCCGCAAGTCCTCGTGCCTGATGACCTCGGGCGCCTCAAGCTCACCTGTCACAACAGGACGCATCACCGTGGCCCCAGACGCGCGGGTCCTCTTCTTTTTTTTTTAGATTTATTTATTTGTTTGTTTGTTTGTTTGTTTATTTATACAAGCAGTGGGTACAGTCAGAAGTGCAGGAGGGTGAGAGAATTCACCAGAGCCAAAGTGGGGAGCCATGTGGGACCCTCGCCGGCGGGCGGGGATCGAACCGGCACTGCAGAGGCTGTGGGCAGCTTCGCAGCCCTGCGCGCTCAACCGCTGCGCCACCGTGGAGGCCCGCGGGTCCTCTTCTATTTCCCCACGTGGTGGGCACCACCATCAACCCGCCCAAGCTGGGATTTGCCCTTGATTTCTGCCCCCCCCGCCCCGCCCCGCTCCCCGCTGCTGAGTCAATCCTCGATTCCCGCTGATCTTACTCCCTCGATCTTTCTTCTCTCCTTTCCTGCCCTTTCCCTCCTTTGGGCCTTAGCATCTCTGGCTGTTGTGTTGCAGAGGCCTCCTTGTCTCTCATCCTTCTCAAATTCCCCTCCCGGTGTGGCGCCTGTTTCTACAACCCAGGCCCCAGCCGTGCCGTTCCCCTCAAGGAGAAACTGGGGGTTTCTGCACAGGATGGGAGGTCCCCTGAAGCCCATCCTCTCACCGCTCCCTGCTCCCCAGCCCACCTTCCACCAAAGCGGGGCTGCTGGTTGTAGCTGCCTGCTCCGTCCTATACATCTGCCTCCTTGTAGGTCCTGGCTGTGGCCCTCCTAGGGGGCTTCCCTGCTCACCCTCAGGGAAGACAGCTCTTGCTCATCTTCTGGGGCTCGGTTCAGGCTCTGCGTCCTCTGGAGCACAGCTCCTGGCTCCCCAGTTGGGCGGGGGGGCCTCCCTAATCTCGGGGTGAACCACATCACATGCCGTTCATGTGATGGCATTTGCCTGCCTGAGTGTCTGCTGCCCACGTGGATCTGGTCAGGCGCTAGGTTTAGTCAGTCTTCTGTCCCGTGCCCCCCAAGATGTAGCTCAGTCAGCGCCTGCTGGAGAGAAGGAATAGCCTGGGAAGGCCCTTCCACTTCTGAGGCGTCTTTCCTTGTTGACCACAGAAATCGCTGAACTTTGAACTTCAAAGGAAGCAGGAGAGAAGTGAGGAATGTGGAAGAAGCCTTAAACCAGAATCAGCACTGTTCTGGGAGCCTTTCCGTCCTCCGTGGGTCTGGTGGACTCAGTGCTGGCCCCGGTCACAGGTAACCCCTGAGGTTAAAAGCCACATTCAGCTACTGACTTCCCAAGCCCCCTTAGAGGGTGTTAATTTTCTGGGCTTCCACCTCCCAAGGATAAAATGGAAGTAGTATTTCATGCTGGGTTTACTGGTTAAGCAGACATTCTCAGAGTAGTATGTTTCCATATCTCAGCCCAGATAAGGTATCCAGTACCAGTAGGTCAAGGGACAGGACCAAAACTAGCCACCAAAAAAAAAAAAAAAAAAAAAAAAAGAAGCAGCAGCAGCAGCAGCAGCCAGAAATGCACATTTATTCTAGCAGTGGGGCTGTAAGGGCAGGAATGGATAGGGCAGGTTTTCTATGATCCAGCAGACCAGGTAAAGGAGGAGAGAGAGTTCTGGAGCCCTCAGTGGCTTTTGCAGGCTTTCATTGGGATTTACCCGGTACACAGCAGGCAGGGGTGCTAGGGGGGCCGGGAGGCTGGCAGGCGTCCCAGGCCCCAGCAAGTCTTCACTCTGTCTGGGCTCTCCAGCCTTCTCTGCTTCTCTCTCGGCTTCTGCTGCTTCTTTCTCGGCTTCTGCTGCTACTTTCTCAGCTTCTCTTTTAGCTTTTCTTTCGGCTTCTACTGGTGTCCTCATGACGCCACCCTTAGAAGCCCAGTCTTAGCCCAGGTGAATCCCATCTACCTATGCCCACACCCTGCTCCAGGTGCCGCCATCAGGCATGCATTCAGGACCGCCAGGATGGCGGGAGGGCAGAAAAGCCTGACATTTTTTCCTTACCCTACAGGGGCGAACATAATTTCTAACTCTTGAAAAATCGAGCCTGTCACCAGACAAGATAGCTGGGTTTGAATAAATAAATCTTTGTATAAACAACAGAATGGGGGAAATATGTCACCCTCATTACTGCAAAAATTATGTCGCCCTTATTCCGCCCTCATTGCTGTCACTAAGAAAATGATTAAAACTGGTGAGTCGCAGCACACAGACCTGGAGGCCCTTCGAAGCCGAGAGCCGAGAGCAGATGGTTTGCTCAGCACCGTCGGGCCCCGGGAGCCACTGTGTGTCCCAAGCCAGCCTCCAAGCAGGCTGAGCCAGGGTCCACACCTCCCGCCTGCGCTCACCTGCCTTTCCAGGTAAAACAGGCGTAGTTATGTCCCCACAGCATTCTTGGGAGGATAAATTAGAGGGTTGTCGCTGTGGCAAGCATTCAAGAAATGGGGTTATGATTAATATTATCACAGGGTGAAAATGGGCAGCATTGCTGGCAGGTAAAGATGGGAGATTACAACAGTTTCAAGGTATTGAGGAGCAGAAAGATACCCAAATTCACAAGAGGCTTGAACAAGAATGTTCCTAACAGCTATAGCCTGAATTTCCAAATCCTGGAAGGAGCCCAGACGTCCATCAGTGGATAAATTGTGAGATACTCATGCAGTGAAACACTTGTCAGCACGAAGAATGACTCATGGCACAGGCCAGAGCGGGGCGGGCTCGCAGAGCTAACCAGCGTCATTGCGGCCTCAAGGTTCACACTGTGGGTCTCTGTGCCAGGGGCCCTGGAACCTGGTTTGCATTATTGGGTTGGCCTGGCCCTTGCTCCCTTCCTGTTGGTAAACACCTAATCAGTGGGCTGCGCTGCCCTCACTGTGGGGCGGGGGGGGGGTGAATAAGAGACTAGTTACAGCACCTGTGCGTACTTAGAGGTCCTGAAACCCAAGCTAGGGAACCGCAGAGGCACCCGCTCACAAAAGCCCCCTCAGCCAACACCCTGCTGGCCTGACGCCCCATCTGGTGATTAACCCCATAAAACCAGGACCCCCTCCCTTTCTACTGGGAGTGTGACTCAGGGCCCACCCTAGCCACCATAAACGTTCCTCACGTGAAACCAGTTATTGGAAACACATGGGATGAATTGATAGAAACCAGTAGCAGTTCCACTTGTATGAACTTCTGGAACTCCAAGGAAAAAACCAATCTATGGTAGAAAAAATCAAAATAGTGATTGTCCCTCAGGCAAGGTCAGGGACTGCCTGGGAAGGAGGGGGGAGGAACGTTCTGTGTCGTAGCAGGTGTTCGAGGGCACATTATCAAGACACACCAAAGCACACTTAGGAGCTGTGCTTTTCACTATCTGCAAATTTCCCTCAAAGGGGGAAGCTGTCGACAAATCTTGACCCCCTACTTGAGAGGAAGGGAGATTCCTGCGACTTACTGTGAACTGTACAAAAGCAAGAGCAAGTCTTGGTGGCCAGACCACGGCCCTGTGACCAGGCAAATCTAGTGACTGCGGAGGGCGGAAGGAGTGTTCACTGTGAAATTAGTTCAACTTTTCTGCTTGTTTGAAGTCGTTCATGATAAAATATTAGGACGAAGAAAGAATTGACATTTATAGGACAGAGCGGACTGTAGAGCTCATTCTACGGGCGGCCTGAAAATATTATTTTCATCTTTCTGCAGGATGCCCCAACCAAATGTACATACTTTGTGTTTTTTTAATATTTATTTGTTTGTTTTTTGTTTGTTTGTTTGTTTAATACAAGCACTGGATACAGTCAGAAGCGCAGGAGGGTGAGAGGATTCACCAGAGCCAGAGCGGGGAGCAGAACAGGCAGACTGATGAAGTACACTGCTGAGGGGAGCAGCGGGCGGCAGGAGACGTCTGCGCGCCATGTGGGATCCTCGCCCGGCGGCGGAGGATGGAACCGGCGCTGCAGAGCATGCAGGCAGCTTCATACCCAGTGCTCAACCGCTGCATCACGGGGGAGGCCCCAAATGTACATATTTTGATCCAGTAATTCCACCTTGGATAATATATCCCAAAGAAGTGACTGTTAAGTATGTGTGTATGGTAGCAGAGAAATGTTAAAAAACAACAACTTCAGTTTAGTTCTGGGCACCCCAGTGAGAACAGAACACCTGCAGGGCAACGAAGACGCTCAGGCTCTGCGCCACTGGCCTCTGTGGCCATCACCTGTGGCCTTGGATGCAGGAGGCACTGGGGCGCATGGGCCTGACGGTGGACCCTGTGGTGTGGTGTGGGCCTGCGTGTGGGCGCACCTGGGCCTAGGGCTGAGGCTATAAGGGCAGCGTCACAGAGGACAGGGCGGCGGAGAGTGGCAGAGAGACCACAAGGAACATCAGAGAGTGCCCAGAGAGTAAAGATTCGCCAGGGGCTGCAAGGTCTGGCGCTGCGGACAAGGCCCCCCTACCTGCCCGGGCCCTGCCTGCACTACACACAACAAATAGTACGGGAAGGGCAGGTGTGCACACTTACCTGGGACATGTCAATTACTAAAACGACATATGCACGACTCCCACACCTGCCCTCTTTCTGTGGAAAACTGGTGTTAAGCTAGTAGACACCAGGCTCACATGTGTGTATCAGCTAACGCCACACGTAGGTGTTCATTTTCAACAGACATTTATTCAGCAATTCTCTGCCCCAGGCCCTGGGAAGTCAAGAATGGGGGAGACCCGCCGTCAGCCCCAGGGCCTCACGGCCTTGCAGTTCTAGAAACTGTGGGAGAATATTGTGGCAGAGGCCCACGAAGGACATTCTCCAGACCAATAATAACGGTGTCTGCAGACATTTAAATGATATGAATTGAGTTCAGTTTTCTTTTTCTCCTCCAAATTGTTCAATTTCACAGCATAGCTCTGTCTAAGGGGGGACTCAGCTTTCATCTCCCTCCTTGGAAGATTTGTGAGGATTCGTGAACCAGAGCAGGTTGCCAAGTCGCTGCCGGAGGCCTGGGGCACGTGGCCTTGGCCCCACGTAGCAGCCAGAACCCGTCTTCCACCTGGGAGGGCCTGGGGACATCCTGGCGGGGTCGGTCCCAGAATTCTTGTTTTTTTAAAGATTTATTTATTTATGCACGCAAGAGCTGGGGTACAGGCCAGAGGTGTGGGGGTGAGAGGATTCACCAGAGACAGAGTGGGCAGCAATAAATAATTTCTAAAATGGAGGGGGGCGGTCAAGGGACAATATCCCAGTCACCTTATTTAAAGTCTGAAGGAAAATTCCAGTGCAATTGAAAGTTCTTGCCTCTGAGGTGTGGAACTCAGGGGAAAGGGTGAGGCAAGGGACAGCTATTTTTGTTGGAGGTGTTAGATCCAGTTGACTTTTAAACTATGTACATGTGTTACTCCAGTGAAACAGGAGGGGAAGGGCTTTATTTTATAACTGTGAAATTAACAAATATTAAAAAAGAATTCTTATGAGATTGTGCTGGAGCTAGAGCACTTAAAACGTCCCGCTAACAACAGAAATTTGTACAAGCCTGTTGGTGTCAAAATTTCAAAATTCCTTTGAAATTTAAATATTTCAAAGGTTGATAAAATGTCCCTGTCTTTGTTGGGGGTCTCCCCGAGGGTCGAGCGGTGAAGTCTCAGTGCTATCATCTTGACGGCCTGAATTCAATCCCTGGCCAGGGAGCTACCCACAGGGCGCAGCAGACCTCTCCTGTCTCCCTGCTGCCCCCTCAGCGGTGGATTTCAGTGGATCCGCCTGCTCTGCTCCCCGCTCTGCCTCTGGTGAGTCCTCTCACCCCCCGCACCTCAGGCCTGCACCCCACTTCTACATATAAATAAGATCTTTTTCAAAAGTCCCTACTTCTGGGGCCTCCCCAGGGGCACAGCGGTTGAGCGCTGGGTTGTGAAGCTGCCCGCGGCCTCTGCGGCGCCGGTTCGATCCCCGGCTGCTCCCCGGCCACCAGAGGAGGGTCCCGCATGGCGCGCAGACCTCTCCTGCCGCCCGCTGCTCCCCTCAGCAGTGTCCTTCGGTCCTTCTGCCTGCTCTGCTCCCCGCTCTGGCTCTGGTGAATTCTCACCCTCCCGCGCTTCTGACTGTACCAGTGCTTGTATAAAAAAAAAAAAAAAAAAAAGCCCCCACTTCTGGACCCAGTTCTCCCGCCGGTGAGCCGGGCTCCGCAGCCCGCGGCCGGGCCCACCTAGGCTCTTGCCGGTGTTTGTGTGGCCCACGGGTCAGAGGGGCCGTGGATTCTATAACTGCTGAAAAGAATGGAAAGATGTGACGTTCCGTGACGAGAGAAACGACGAGGTCGGCGTCCCCAGCCAAGTTCCGCCTGGCGAAGCCCGGCCCCTCCGTGCCCCGCCGCCGGCGCCTCCCCCGGCCGCCTCCCCCGGCCGCCACCACACGCCCGGCGGCTGCCAGGGGCGATCAGGCACCGGGCCGCGTCCCCAGGTTCCGGCTGCTGAGGCCTCCCCGCGGGAGCTCGGAAGGTGACTGCGCCCGGGGAGGCGAAGGGGTCTCTGAAGAGGCGATGAAGGGAGTTAGGGCCCTTGGGGCGGCCCGAGCCCCGTGGGACTGGGCCCCCCGGGGACAGCTGAGGGCGCAGAGGCCGTCCCGGGGGGCGCGGGGGCAGCGTCTCCAGAGCGAGGGGCGGGGCTGCAGGAGCAGCCTGGCCTGGCACCCGGGCCTGAACTCGAACTCGCAGCCTCCAGGCTCCTGAGGGAACGAGGTTCCGCGGTCTAAGCGTCCAGACTCGGGCGCTCTGCGAAGGCGGCCGAGGCGCCTGTCCTGAGACGGTCACGGCGACTCCCAGAGAAACCCGGCGGCCCTCGGAGAGGGGGAGGGAAGGATTTACTCGTCGCGCTGGCGGCCCGCAGGGTGGCTCCCCGAAGTCTGAGCCCGAAGAGCAGGAATGGCAGGGCGTTGTGCAGCGCGTCTGCGGCAGCCCGTCACCCCGTCCGTCGTGGGCTTCCCTTAGTGCGGGGACGGGGTCAGGACGGCCGTCCAGGATGGCTCGCGGAGGGCGAGCAGCACACCAGCCGCGCCGCCCCAGCAAGCAGCAGACGCCGAGCAGCGGCCTCGGCAACCTCCTGCTGCGGGACCAGACGGCCAGCAGCGCTGAAATACCTTCTGGTGCTTTACAGAAAAAGGCCCCTGGCGCGGGCCCAGACCAGGGGGTGCTCCGTGGGCCAGCCCAAATCCCAGCTCCTCTGGTCACCAGGTGTGTGAGCTTGACCAAGACCCCTCACTGGGCTGCCACTCCGTTTTCTCCTCTAAAACAGAGATCCTGTGGTGCCAGCGCATGGGGCCGTGGCAGAGTCTCAGCCTGAGGAAGAACCAACACCACGGAGCCCTAGGCATGTTCCTGGGGAGTCCCCAGTACTGGGAGCCGGCGGCGGCAGGCTCTGGCAGGCCTGTGCTGGCGGGGGCAGCAGCCTGGCACGTGGCACCCCAGCCCCAGGCCCAGCCATGGCACCGACCCGCCCGCTCCGTGGGTGCAGCAGAGCCAGTTCTGCTGACGGCGGTCCTGAAAGTCCCTGCCCCATGGGGGTGACGAGAAGCATGGGCTTGTGGGGAAGATGCAGCGAAGGGCTTCCTCGGCAAAAATAGAAGGACCCCCCCCACACATTAAAAAAAGTCACACAAGTAAAACTGTGCTTTACTTGTTAAATGGGCAGTCTATCAATACTACAATTCACATGGCACTTTGCCTTCAGGTTTGCTTGAAGATGTTGAGGGTTACGGCTTACGGGCTGTGAGGGGGGTGCAGGAAGGAGGGAGGCGTGGGGTGGGAGGGGGTGTGGTGGCCCTGGTGGCGGTGGTGTGGCTCTAACAAACACAGTGAACTGAGGTGCAGGGAGATGCTGGGGGACTGTGTGCACACGTATGTGCGTGTGTGCATTTGTGTACGTGTATTCCTAGGCGCCGATCAGCGGCGTGCAGAGTCCCACGATCACCCAGTGTTTCGCCAGACATAGTCATGCAGAAGCAAATGCAAAATTTGAAGCCCCATCAGGCTCAGCCTCCTCCCTGCCTGTCAGCCACGCGGCACGGACGCCTGCTCCCAAGACCAGGAGCACAGCAGGACCGAGCCCGCACATCCCCCAAGGCCTCCTAGACACATGTGGGGAAGAAGGTTCTAGGAGGTGTGGTCAGAGGCAGGAACTCTGCCCACTCCAGTTCGGAAACAAGAAGCCTGTGTGTCAACGCAGGGGGCCGCAGCAGGCCTTAGGGCCGCCCCAGCCCGTGGCAGGCACTCGGCCCCCAGGCTATGTTCTCCCCGCTGAGCCTCCTGCCCACACCAGGTGCCTGGGCTGCTGTTTACCAAGCCCTTGCACACACCTCTCGCCTCCTGCCGGCCTCCCGGGAACAAAGGGCAGGTGCTGGCAATCCCCACTTGACAGAAATGGAAAATGAGACGCAGGGAAGTTGACAGAGTCCCGAACGAAAGGGGGGTGCTCACTCCACCAGGCCCAGAGGGTGCCTCGCACAGGCCCCCAGGCTGCGGGTCCCAGGAGAAGGCTGCAGGGGCCCTGCCCCCGGGGGGAAAGTGCTGGAGACCCGGAAGGCGCCTGCCTCAGGTGAGCTCACTACTCTGACACCTGTTTCTCCTTTTAACAGAAAGGACAACCTCCATCTGAGCTGCGTTTTTAAAAATCACGCCCAATGAGGCTGATGAACATTCTAGCACAACCAAGACTTTTTAGCAGGGGTGCAGTTCCGTTTCAATCACAAGCCAGAAGCCCCATAAAGAAGACATGAGTAGCCTGCAAGGTGCAGTAGGAGCTTGGTGTTGATTCTGTGCCAGGCAGAGGTTTTTATTAAAATATGTGAACTACCAGCACCTGACCCCACCTGCCCTCCACTCTCAGGCGGGGGTGGGGCTGCATCTGAGCAGAAAGAGGCAAAGCTCATGACATCTAGTAGGTGGGCTGGCTGGTCCCCCTCACTCAGTAACCCCCTCAGCCCCACTGAACAAGGAGCCGGAAGGAAGCCAGAGTCAATTAGATCCCCCCTGCCGCCGCTCCATTCTAGAAAGGCCGCCGGCCCCGGGGCCTGGGGACCATGCTTCAGAGACCTGAGTGTTTCACACTCACCTGGGCCATTGGACACGAACATTTGCACTTTATACCTGCCCCCAATGCTTGCAAACATACATACTAACATACATGCACACAAGCACGGATACACAGCACAGACACACATGCCCATGCACACCCACATAAACACACCCCTATGTGCACAGGTGTGGGTGCACATGCAGATACAGGAACACACATACACAGAACACAGGTGAGCACATACACACCAGTGTGCTCGTAAATACAGTGCATGCAAGTGTGCATATGTTACCACTCACGCATGTAGGCCAGTGAGGGTATATTTGCACACATATGCAGACATGCCTCTACATAAAGATGTGCACCCGTGTTGTATTCACACACATGCCTGCCAGTGGACACACATGCATGAGATGGCACATGTGTGTGTTGGTGTGTGGACATGTGTGTATTGACACGTGCATCATGCATGGACACGAACGCTTTCAGGTGCCCCATCCATCCTCTAGCTCCCGGTCCCCATCCCTCCCTTTGCCCTAAGCCAGGTTATCCTTTCTCTGAACTTAGTAAGGGCGCAGCCTTCTGACCCAGCAGCGCCACCTTCTGGTCACATTGGAACTTCTGCAGAACCTGATTGGCCATCAGCACTGGAGGTGGAGAAATGGGGGGGACCCCTTAAAGAAATCACCTAGATGGTGGGGTTCTCAGATAACTCTAGATATGATATGTATTTATGGCTCTAGAGATGGACACAGAAGGGCTGGAATCTTCAAGAAGACAGTGAATCTGACCAAGTGGGGAAGGGCTGAACCCCAAAAGAATCTGGCTGACCCTGGCAAAGGTGGGAGAGTTCACCCCAGAAAAGGGAAGATGAGAACTTGCTGGTGCTGCCCTTGGTCTTCTGAGGCCTTGGGAGTGAGCTGGGCTCCGTCTCACGCTCCACCTCGCACGTGACCCTGTGGCCAGGCCTCTGGGCGGGATGGCAGCCCAGGTGAGGGTGCGCCTGGCTCGGAGGGTGGAGGGCGGTGGCAATGGTGACCCAGGGATGGGGTTCCTGGGAATCAGGGGAGTGAGCTGATCCCTGGGGGAACCTGTAGTGAAAGAGAGTTCTGGAAGAATGAAGCCAGGGAAGTGGACCCTGGGGAAGTGGGAAATGCCTGTCAAGGTGGCTGACAGGAACAGGGTGTGCTGTCAAGTCACAGGGCTCAGAGGAGCCCGAGGCCCCCAGGTTCCCCCAGCCCCCCAGCAGGAGGCCCAGCAGGTCAGGAGTCTGGTTCCAGCTTGGAACTCTGACTTGTTACATAGCAGCCCCCAGCCCCCCACCCCCTGCCGGCATCTGCTAGCTTGGGAGTGCTCCTGCCTTCAGATCCTCCCCCCACCCCCACACCCCCGCCTCTTGGAATCTACCTGCCTCTGCTTGGAGGCACATGGGGCATTCTCCCCGCCCCTCCCCCAGGCTGCTGGGGTCTTGGCTCGCTCAGGGTCCCCACCTGTAAAGTCAAGAGCTTAGGCTGTGTGGTTCCCAAGCACTCCAACACTCCACAGTCCCCTGAAAGTTCCAGAGCCGTGTAGCCGAGATGCTGGTGACAGAAGAGGAGGGTGGCAGCAATAAGTGATCTAAACATACAGGCGTACAGACAGGTGTAGAATAACTGTAGGTGCTGCCGTGTCTGCGCGCACGCACACACACATACACGTCTGTGCTTAGCCACACGCCTGCACACATACATGGGAAGGGCCTGGAGCAGTGACCATCTCCAGCAGCAATGAGCACACCTAGATAATGACCGTGAATTACACTCTCCACTCACGAGACCGGGGCTCTTTGGAAAGCTGGCTGATCTCAGTTCTCTGGGGCAGAGGAATGACAAAGGGAGCTGGGGTATCTGATTGTTCCAGAAAGCAAGGGGGCATGCCCAAAGACACAGAGACCAGCTTCCGGGGGACCTCGTCAGCCTGCCAGAGACAGCGTGGGCCTCGTGGGCAATATGGGATTTGGAGGTGAGCAGAGCAGGGATGGACACTTGGCCCATAAGCTGCATGGTCATGGACAAGCCACTTAAACCTCCTGGGTGGTCTCAGCTTTCTGTTGCATAAATAAGGTCGGTCACGCCTGCCTTGCTAGGTTGTGGTGTGACTTAGAGTTATGTAGGATGCCTGGCACAGTGATGGGTTGGGCCCTGGCCGGGTGTGCCTCAGAATCCCCTGAGAATGTTCCTGTCCAGAAGATTCCTATGACCCCCGCCCAAAGGGTCTCATCAAGCTCACCTGTCCGGTTGCAGCTGCACTTGTTCGCCTCTCCCACCTGACACTGGACCCAAGTATTTACAGTCCTAAATGCACCATCGTGTGCTTTGCACATACAGTTCACCCATCCGGGATGCCCCTCCCTTTTGCCTGATTAGAAAACTCCTACTCACCCTCCAAAACCCAGGTGAAATGCATTCCTGTTTGTGAAGCCTTTCCTGACCCCCTGCTCTCAGCGCTTCCTCCTGCGTCTAACCAGCTGTTGCTACATCCAGAAGCACCTTCCTTTTAATGACTCTCTCCTATGCACTTTACAGCGCACATAAAGTATGTCTTCGAAAAAAGACACCAGGGACTAATTATTAGCCCTGTTTCCTGTTTACATACATAAAAGCTGAGCCTCAAAGAGTTTAAGTAGCTTGCTCAGGTCCCACAGCTGGCAAGGGCAGAGCCAGCACGCAAGGCCCAGGCTGCGGCCGGGAGTGTCTGGCCTCAGCCATGGCAATCCTGGCTCTGTCTCCTCACGTGGGTGCAGCTCGCAGACCAAGGGGCTGGTCCCATTCGTCACTGGTCTCCATCAGCCAACACAGTTCCTAAACACAAACAGTAGGGGCCTGCAAACAGGGTGCCTGCCTCCCACTTTCACACCCTTCCCGCCCCACCTGTTTTCTCTGGGCGGGGTGAGAGGCCGCGCAGAGGCCAAGGTGAGAGGCTAAGGCGGAGCAGGTGGTTTTCGCAAGGGGGCCGCGCTTCCCCAGGGTGCAGCGCCCGCGTCTGCCAGCAGGTGGCACTGCGGCGCCGCCCGGGCTCGCGGGCCCAGCCCCGTGAGGGGGGGGCTCCCCTGGGCGTGCGTCCCGGGCTGCAGCCGTCAGAACCTGCAAAATTCAGAGCTCGTGGGTGAAAGGATTAATGTGCACATGACAGAATAAAAATATATAGAGCATGAAATTGATACTCGGGAAATAGAGCACCTCCCCCCTCTTGGGGGAAAAATACCCTCCCGCCTTGAGTAGGAATGGAGCTGCCGGGACTGTCAGGAAAGCTTGGAAAAAGGTGCCCGAGGGCAGCACTTAACCGGGAACACCTGTTGGGCGAGCCCCACCCTCACGGTGCTCCAGGTCCACCTGGGTGTGTGGGCCGCTGGGCCTCGTGGCCTGCTCAGGGCCTCGGGACCCTCGGAAGAGATCTGGGTGACAGGCATGGAGTGAGCACCAAGCAGGTGAATAATTCACATTTCCCAAGCCCTAATTTGGTGCACATGACCCCACAGAGGGTTCCAGAGCACCACGCTTTCTGGGGGTGTAGCCCACGGACCATTAAATTGGCATTTCTGGGCCAGTGACCTGGAAGACCCTGGGCAGGCCTGGAAGACCCAAGTCCCAGGGCCTGGACACAGCGTGGGGCAGGTATAGAGTCACATGCATGCACGTGTGCACACACACACACACACACACACACGGTGTGCACACATGGTGGAGAGAAGCCGGTGTGTTCCTCCGGCCTATGACTGGGCAGTTTCACTGCCTGGCTTGTGCTAGAACCGTGTGAGGTGCTGCCACTGAGTGAGACCACAGAGCTAATTATATATTTTTACAACTTCCTGTGACTTTGTAATTGTATGAAAAGTTTTTTTTTTTAAGATTTATTTATGCATAAAAGGTACAGACCAGAGGTGTGGGGGTGAGAGGATTCACCAGAGACAGAGTGGGGAGCAGAACAGGCAGATCTACTGAAATCCACTGCTGAGGGGAGTAGCGGGGAGACAGGAGAGGTCTGCTGTGCCTTGTGGGTAGCTCCCTGGGCAGCCGGGTGTCAAACTCGTGCTGCAGAGGCTGCGGACAGCTTCACCGCTGTGCACCACCAGGGAGGCCCTGTTAAAAAGTTTTTAAAAATGTAAAAGATGTCTGCAGGCCAAGCCTCCGGGTCCAGGCCATGCTTCCTTCCATCCTGAGTTCCGAGCATTCCCCAGTCCAGATCCCCCCAGATTCCTCAAATCAGCGGGGCCCTCCCCCCTCACTACCTCCTGCCACCTGCTCTCCCTGGTCCCCAGTCCCACCCCCAAGCCCAGACCAGAAACCCCAGCAGCCCTTAGCTCCTCGGCCCTGCCTTGCCTGGACACTTCCCACCCCAAGGCCGCTGGCCTTCCAGCCTGTGGCACTGCCCGAGCCAGGCCCTCATCCCCACCTAGACCACTGGCCCAGACAGCGCCATGCGGGCTCCGCGGCCCAGACTCGCCCCCACGCCTGTCCCCATCAGGGAACCGTCCTGTCTCAGTGCTTGCCGCAGCTCCGACTCCCCAAGCCTCTGGCCTTGACCCTGTGGGCGGTGGGAGGCCTTGCCGGCAGGTGTTGCCAGTTGTAGCAGGAATCCTAAGTCAGTTTAGAAAGAACCCCGCCCTGTCACCTCGGCATCTAATCAGATCCCGCCAGCCCCAGGGCTGCCTCCAGCAAGATT